TACTGATCTGCTGCAATACGAGCCTCAAAGAAACTTTTGTATTTCTTGTGTGAAACACCAGAAATACCACTTGTAGCCTTTTTGGTAATCTCCCAGTCTTGATAGATACCTGCATTTGGGCCATTGAACACGACATAATATGTTGTGTCTCTTTTATTTGGGATTTGAATTCCCTTATCATTGTCAAGTGATTTTATATGTTGAGGAACAGAGTTTTCACTGTTCGGTCTGAGGTTTAAACGATCAGAATTATCGGACGTTGTTTGTAATTTAATACCTATTGCCGCTTTTAGCAAGTTGCTAGCTATTAACGGATTTGATGAGTCTTTACCAGTAGCCGTTTGCTCTGGACTAGTTTCACTTTCGAGATCTATAAGATCTGGAGGAAATGAAATTTCCTCTTTTTGTTCACAAGCTAGGCTTGCTACATTACTCGTTTGTTCCATTATTGGAATAGAGACAGTAGAATCTCTTTTTTTGTTCAACTTTAAACAAGCTTACATACTTGATTTTGGCACGAACCAATTCAAGTTCTTGGACCAGAAGTCCTTCTTGCAACTGAAGTTGTTGTAATTCATCCATTATAGATGATGCTTCATAAAGCATAAATCATGCCTGGGAAGCAACTCCCTATTGTCACCACCTGTGACTGGTTATGTGCTCCGTTGAGCCTTAATCCTGTAAACATTTTATAAAAGGTCGTTAAATTCCCGAGATAAAAAGTCAGCGAGGACATTCTTGTTTCCAGCAATTTGCTGCACATCAAATTCATATTGATTAAGCCATATTTGTCATCTCACAAGTCTACCTTGTTTACTATCACCTTTCATTTTGGTCTTTAAGAAATAAGTGAAGTTTTTATTATCAGTCCTAACGATAAATCTATAAGGAGTAAGATAAATTGTGAATTTGTTATGGTTTTTATTACCGCAAGATATTCTTTTTCATTAGAGCGGTAATTCTTTTCAGCATAATTAAAACTTCTTGATGCATATCGACATATATATTCTTTTTCTTTAGATAATGCTTTTAAAACACCACCCCAGTATGCATTTGATGCATCCGTTTCAATGATCAACTGATCATCTGTTTTTGGAAGATACAGTAAAGGAAAATTGGTTAGATTTTTCTTTATTTTCTTCAAGTAATTAGTATCGATTTCTGACCAATACCATTTTTGGTCTTTCTTTAATTTAGCTTGTAAAGGAGCTCTTATACTAGCCAATTTAGGAATATAATCTGAAGCGTAAGTTAATACACCTAAAAAATGCATTAAATGTTTCTTATCTTCAAGTTTATCTGGGAACTTATGGATATGTTCCAAAAATATGATTTTGAGGTTTGTGAAAACCTTCTTCAATTGTTAATCCTAAAAATTCAATTTTAGTTTTAAACAATTGAGTTTTCTTTTCAGATTGATTATTCCTAACCTATCACATTCTTTCAGAACTACTGCAACATGCATATAGTGCTCTTGTTCTGTGACACTGAAGATGAGAATATCATCGACATATACACAACAGAATTTTTCAAACTTTCTGAATGCATTATTCATATGTCTTTGAAAAATTGATGGAGCTTGTTTTAAACCAAAAGGTACTACTACAAACTGGTAATGTCCTAGTGGGCATGTAAAAGCTGTTAGTAGTTGGGATTCCTTGTCTAAGAAGACTTGCCAAAAGTCTGATTTACAATCGAAAGATGTAAATATTGTTTTTCCTTTTAATAAAGATAAGTGTTCATCTTTATTCGGTAAATTATGACCATCGCCAATCATTTTCTTATTAACCTCTCGATAATCAATAGCAATTCTTCGTTTTGAAGTTTCTTTTTTATCTACCAAAAATGCTGGTGATCTATGGGGAGACTTACTAGGAATGATGACTTTCATATCAAGCATTTCTTGAACTTGTTGATTAGGTTCTTCTCTATCTTTGGGTGTATAGCTCATTGCTTTCACCACAATTTCAGTTTTAGGATCTATCAGTTTGATAGAAGCCTTACCTAATACTTGGTCTTATTAGGATCAAGTGGATTTTCTGCATAAACTTTTTTCCATAATTTCTCTTTTATAGAAAATTTTTGTTGATTAAGAACAAAAATGTTCATTTCTTTTCTAAATTCTAATAACCTCTTCCCCTTCTCTTTAAGAAGTGATATTTTATCAGTAGTTATTTGAACTGGTTCAGGTTTTTTGGATTTAGATTTCTTCTTCATGGAATCTAAATATCCTGGATTTCCAACCCTGTATGCCGTTCTCAATTTTCCTATGTGTACAGGTTGATTATTTTTTGTGAAAATTATTCTATCAGTGTATTGAACAAAAGGTTCATACAATTGACAGAAATTATTTACTAGAACAAAATTCATTCGAGATTCTTGTTGATAAACAGTTGGAATATGCAATATTTTTCCTGCTATCATTATACTTAAATTTTTACAAACTTTATTTATTGAGATTGAACTTCCATCTTCAATATTTACTTGCAATGTTCTGGAAGCATTTTCCCAATGTTCTTCAGGAATAATATGTTTTGAAGATAAACAAAGGCTTGCACCTGTATCCACAAAACAATGTATTTCCATCTATTTATAACCTGCGAATTTCAATTTACCTTTTATGTATATTGAATTCGGGTTTGTAATACTGATGAGGTTATCCTCACTCTGTATCACTGTTTCTTGTGTTTGATGTTCCTAAAGAGGATTCATCTTTCAATTTTTCCAGTATATAAACTTCTTCTATATCTGAATATTCTTCCTCAATTGGTTCAAGACCAAATGATTCTGCAATCTGCAAAAATTTTACTTTCTCAGATTTTTGCCTGTTAGGGCACTCATTTGCATAGTAACCTTATAAATTACAAATCCAACATATGCAATTCTTTTTCTCTTTTGGACAAAAATTTTTCTTAGGTTGAAACTTTTGTTTCTGCCTAAAATATTTACCAGGTTTAAAAGTTTTTCTCTTCTTTCTTTTCTGGTACTTATACTTTCTAGAGTGTTTTTTCTTAGATTTTCTTTTGTATGGTTTGCAACCATAATCTGTAGGTTTCTCAGAAATTTTAGAACAACAGTTTCTGTTGAACTTCTTTATTTGTTTTTGCTTTGTAGTAACATTACAAATTTTTTTGATTTCCTCTCTCACGAGTATTTTGGCATAACCAAAACTATACTTCATAAGATTTTCAGCTGTTTCATATTTCTTTGAAGCATCATTTCTTACAATAGGAATTTTTGCTAAATACATTCTAATGTATTCAAGATGTTCTGCAAAATCTATTTTGAAAAGATTCTTTTCAAAGTCACAATTGAATTCATTAATATAGCAAATATCACAAAGAGTTAGATTATTTAATCTTACCTTTGCTTTAGATTGTTCTTTAAGTTTTTCATTTACTGCATTTGATACACGATCAATGCCCAAAAACAAAGTATATAGACTATTCAAAATCTTTCAAGCATAACTGCAGGGTCTACATTTTGAGTACCCACTTAACTCTCTTTATAAAATTTTGTGCATTTCCAAGCATTCTATGCTCAGCAAGTGCTAACATAAGTTGTGCTGTGTTGAAAGTACTGGGATTAAGATTATCACAAGACCCATTTCTAGTCCCCATTTATCAATTAATTTCTTAATAGTTTTGGGTTTCTTACAGTCTAAATCTAGGATTGAGGTTGTATGTACTTCTTTAGCAATACCAGGAATACCGACATTGTTACTAGATGACCTGGGTGCTCTAGGAGTTACTGATGGTTTTCTTTCAAATTCACCAGTATTCATATACTGATCATTTTTTGTTCTAGATGATTCTGGTTTTTCCATTCTATTTTTTTTTTTTTTAGAATTTCTTCCTCATCATTGAAGTTTATTTCTGATTCTGACTCAGTGTCAGTTTCAGTTTCTTCTACCTGATAAAACTGATCATTTTCATCAAGTTTTAGTAATTTTTTCATTTCAACATTTAATTCTAAATCTGAATTACATTGTTTCTCATTTATTTCTAAGAAACGAATTGTATGTTCAAGCTGAACAACTTGTTTATCATCCAAATCTAAATTAATTAGATTCCAGAGATTTTTCTCAATTTTTTCTTCAAAATTCATTTTTTCAATGCGTCCTTTGGCCATTTAAAAGCATTAGAATTTCCTGAGCTTCCTAATTCTTCATTTCCTACTAAATCATTAGGATATGAATATTTTAGAAAAGGTATATTCTTTTCTTTACATGGACATTTAGCAATTTCTTGCTTATTTTCTTCTTTACAAGGACATTTAGCAATTTCTTGCTTAATATCATTGATTATTTTAGATGCTATCGGTTCTAAATCTTGTTTAGAATCTTTAGACTGTTGTTGAACAGATTGAAATAACTCATCTATCTGTTTTTTCAAGATTTCCATATCCCGTTTTATATCCGTTAATGTATAATTCATTTTATATACCTATAACAAAATAATACTCAAATATGGGTATAATAGTAATTTTAAATATTTTTTTTTATTTTAAAAGATTTTTCTTTTGGTCAAATGTTTTTTAACCAAAATTTAAAGTTGAAAGGGTTACTTGAACAAATATAATCTTGTGGAAGGTCATATGGACCAATTTCCTCTTGAGTATGGGTTATTACGTAATACTCCGAAAATTGAAGGACCTGATTCTAAACAATCCAGCGGGCGATGAACGACGATCCGAAGTTTGGCACGCAGTTAACTGGGCGCGAAGCCTACACTCTCAACACGCACACGCTCTTTCATGTTTATTTGATTCTCTGTGCATGTTGCCCTTTTGTTTTTCCTAAATATATGTAGCATACAATTCTATGGATTATTATAAATATATGAGTAAACTCCGTTACAATTCTTTTGTTTATTAGTGGCAATTTATCCTAAATTGGGGGACTAAATGAGGCGTTGCTGAGAAGGAAATAAAGTTGAAACCCTAATCTTGATTTGTGTTTTAGTCTCATCTCATGGAGTCGCCCACGCCGGTCTCTCGATACATACCTCAGAATTCCAAGTATGCAATTTACCCACTTTTCCCCCTCTGTGTGTGTGTGTGTGTGTGTGTGTGTGTGAATTTGGTGAATGAATGTTTCAAAGTATTGATTGATTTGGGTGATCGTCCAGGAAAAGGATGTTTCTGGCTGAAGGCTCCTCGTCGGGGTGTAAGGAGGTGGAGGTGTTGGAAGTAACGCCTCCGGCTAATCGCAGTTCTAAACCCAAGTCCTCGAAACAAAAAGAGGTTTTTTTTTTGCCCCCCACGATATATTTCTCTTTGCTGCTTTTTCTCATCATTGTTCTTGTTGAGATCTGGTGACAGATTGAGAATGGTCCTCTTTCTCTGGTGCTTGGGTGTTCTAAATTTTACTTAGATGCTTGGCTTGTTCTGAAAAGTTTAATTATTAGCTAACGTTTCTCTCTCAATCTCTCAATTTGTGGTTCTTGGGATGGTGTTGGAAATGATTGTACTGGTCACATGCGATTACGTTAAGCAGAATTGAAGTTTTTACTCGGATTTAATTAATTTGTTTTATATTTCAAAGTAATGTTATTTTATATTTTGAGCTAAAGCATTTGTAATGTGCTTTAATCACATATAGATGTTTTCAGGACATTGATGTAATTCATGATGGTGTATACGCCTTTTGGGTTTGTTTTATATACATCTTTTGGAGCTGTTGTTGTTAGGCCTTTTACTTGTTTGATTTTGGTTTATCTCGATGACATAAAGTGTATATTCATAATCATAAAGGTAGTGCTATCAAATGGTAGTATCGTGGGTTTCTGCCAAACCACCATGCTAATTTTGGTGAAGGAGGTAGTTATGGTGGTGGCGCACAGGTTACGATGGGCAGCCGCGATGGAGGGATTTTGACCTTCCTCCATCGCCGACGATAACACTGCATTAACGGAGAAGTTAGAGGGTGCTTGGATATATGCTTGATTGAGTTTTAATTTGATATTTTGGTTAGCCAGAGTTAATTTTGAAAAAGTTGGTTGGGTTAGGTTTGTGTGGAATTTTGAATTTGTATTAAAATAAAATGATTGAAGTTGATTTTATGAAAGTAGGAGAATTGTGATTGAAAGTAATGAGTAGTAAAAATTATGTGAGTGGATGAATATTGAATTAAAGTTGATGTCATGTGTGAGTATGATTGATGGATATTATTTAATTATTTTGATAATATTGAGGAGAGTGGGGATGAGTTAAATTTGAGTTAGATTTTTGAGTTAAAAAAGTGATTAGATATTTGGATACAAAACTATATCCAAGCAACCCCTGACTTTTCATTAGTGTAAAAAAAACTTATTTTCTTTTAGGTTCTATGCTCGCGGATATTTAGAAATAAGTTGTTGTAGTCTGTGTAAGAAGAGATTGCCTGGTGTTTATGTTTTTTGGTCTGGAATATTAAGGATTACTCTGTTTTTTATGAGTTATGAACGTCACATGCTTTTAGGCCAATTACGCTTTTTATTTCTGTCTGCTCGACTTTCCTGGCATAAGAAGATTCAGTACTGTGTCTCAGTCGCAAACTTGACAAATTCGATGTAACTTAGAGAAGTTGTATTACCCCTGGTGCACTGCAATTTGGTGTATTTGAATGCTCAGAAAATCAGAAGAACATCAAACCAAGAGGCATATTAATTTTAATAGCATGCTAGCAAAATTTTTTTGAATCATTTTATACGAAAGCACATGTCTTACTAAAATCCCTTTATGTAAGTTATTGTGAAATATATTTTAGTATAGGTCATTTGTGAATTAGCTTTATGTCTAACATCTCTGGTCTTACTTGAACTTGGTGACCACAAGTCTACTACATGAAATTATTCCTTTGCAACATATCGTTTGGCACCAGCTACCTGCTACTGGTTTATTGTGCATGCATTTTTATTTTCTTCTTAAGATAAATACTTTGGTCCGAATTTAATCTACCTAGTGACATACATGATACTATTTTTACTTTACTTTTCTCAAGTATTATTCACCTTTCAATTCTTTTCTTCTCCTGATTTTTTCCTTTTGCCTGGTTGGATCGATATTAACTTCATACTTTTAAAATTTTTGAAGGTTATTTCTCCTGAAATTATAGACGTGGACATGGATGAAGACAGTGATGATCTTATGTTGAATGATCCGGATGTTTTCACAAGTGCCAAAGGCAAGGTGCTTCAGTGTTCTAACCCCCATCTCATGTTGTTACTTTTCTTCGTGTTTGGAATTTGTTAATTTCACATCTTCATGGTGTCAAAATAGTAGTAACTTTACCTTTGTTTCTTTCACCTGTAGAAAGTCTTGTCCAGCTCTTCTGGTGGTATTGATGGTGTAGCAAATGATGAATCTGGCGCCCTATTGCACGATTCATTAGATCCAGACGACTTCGGCTCAAATCAGTATTATGGGGAGGATGAGTGGATAGATACATATTATGATGACATACTATCTGATGACTATGATGCAACTCTGGAATCACATTTTGATCACATGGATATTCCACCTGGAGTTGAAATGTCATTCCCCTGGTTGCCTGCTTCTCCCAAAAATGATTCAAAAGCGCCAACAGCCAGTAGCTCTTCTACACAAGCTACTATCAAAACTCAAATCACCAATATCAATCTCTCACCCCCCTTGAGCTCGTTGTTGCCTCCGGATGACACCCAAATAGGTGATATGTCAACTTTATGGGATGGTCCAGTCGCAGATTTTGAGATGGATTCGAGTCATCAACATTTTCAGGGGAAACCATCTTCTAAATGGACCGGACCTGATTTCAGCAAGAAGACCGTTTCACTCGGTATTGGAAACCATTACCCACTATCTTACGATAGTACTGTGCTTCATCAAATGGGTAAGGAACCACTTGTCTCTTCTGGGAAGAGCAAAAGGAAGTCCCATGCATCACATGTTCTCTCCTCCCACCATCATAAATTCCCTTCGGCTCCATTTCACTCGTCTGCCGCAGGTGGAGGTGGTAGTTATCCTATGTCTGTCATGCAGCCAAAGGGTTATGGAGTAGCAAGCTATTCTCCCGGGTGGCAGGAATTTCCTATGAATCCTGTTCTGGAGCCCATGTCGCCTTCTGGATTAATTGATGATAACCCGTTAGCCATAAATATTCTGATGGGTGCATCTCAGGTGGAGCCTTCACGGCCGGCCAAGGTCGAGCCAAGAAACTTGGATGAGGTTTTCCGTAGGTTTGACAATTTTAAGAAATTCGACACTGTTGAAGACTATTCCGATCACCAGTACGCCAAGAATGGTGGTTCTACAAAACAGGTGATATTACGCGGAATATGCATTGTTTTGTCTTGCTTTCCTAACATTGGTAACATCACTTTGATACTTTCGAATATTATCTTATGCATGACGTGAACAGCCACCGTCGAGTTGGGCGAGGAAAATCCAAGAAGAATGGAAGATTCTGGAAAAAGATTTGCCTGGTAACTTCTGAATAAAATAACCCTGGAAATTATTGCGCTTGGCCAGTATATTTGTTTTGGAGTTGATTCTATTGTGCTTATGTAGAGATGCAAATGATAATTTCTCTAACAACGTTAGTATTTAATGTTATTCCACTTTTGCTCCAACAGATGAAGTATTCGTGAGGGTATACGAGTCGAGGATGGACCTTTTGAGGGCTGTCATAGTAGGAGCCGAGGGGACTCCTTACCACGACGGTCTCTTTTTCTTTGATGTCTTCTTTCCCAGCAGCTATCCTAATGTCCCCCCGGTATGTTCTCTAATTTCTGAACTCAGAATTCTCACCTTGCTACCTAACTTCGTAAACGTTTATGGATTTCGAGTTCTCATTGCTTTTATATCTTATTGGGCATTGGCAGCATGTTCATTACCATTCAAGAGGCCTTAGAATCAATCCAAATCTGTACTGTTGTGGGAAGGTGTGCCTGAGCCTTCTCAACACTTGGAGTGGTAGTCAGAAGGAGAAGTGGATCCCAGGTGTGTCTACAATGTTGCAGGTTCTTGTGTCTATACAAGGGCTGATTTTGAATGCCAAGCCCTACTTTAACGAGCCTGGGTATGCTCATATGGATGGCACTGTGATGGGAGAGAAGTGCTCTTTGGAGTACAATGAGAGGACATTTATTTATAACCTGCAGACGATGGTCTACAACATGAGAAGGCCCCCAAAGGTGATGAATCTACTTTGTCTTTTTACTAATGCTGTAAATAACGTTAGGCACTCTCTAGGCGGAAGATTGAGACCTAGAGCCTAGGCGAGTTGTTATCGAAGCTTAGGCACGATTTATACAGTACTTGGCAAGATATAATCAAATTAAAAGTGTAGAAGAGCTTAGGCAGGTTATACGGGATTTATACTGTACTTTGCAAGATATAATCTAATTAATATGTAGAAGGGGTCAAGCGGGCCTCGTGCATAGGCGGGATATAATCGCAGCTGGGCGAGGATTTTTACAACGGACCTTTTTTCTTAAGCATAAGGGCTAATTATGAAATATGTCCTAGAGTTGCAACCTAATATACTGAAAATCTAGCTAATCTTGAATTAGAAACATACTAATACACCATTAACTCACAGTCACACACACTCACTCTCGCAGATACATTTCCCCATTGCAGCCTAGCAAGAGTAATTGTTAAACAAACCCCCTACTTTAAGGGGGGGTGGATTTGTAATTTTGAAGCATCAGTTGGATGTTCCATAATTGGATTAAATCACCAGGGTTGGTTTTATAAGTTGACCCCCTATGGAGCTTCACACTTAGTGGTAGGGTTACCAATGAACGAACTGAACCAGGCTTTTGATTGCTGGATTCGGCTCGTGTAAACAATTGACAAACTTGATCATAGCTGAGCTTTCACGAGCCTGTGCTCGATCATGGCATCATTTATTGAAGTCTTGAGTAAATTTAAAACTAATATTGTTATTAATTGATCCGGCATATCATATAAATAACATGTATTGTTAATTATTGGAAATATAGTAATGTGATTACCCTCCATTAAATGCAGCATTTTGAGGACTTTGCCATAGGGTATTTCTGCAAGCATGCCCGTGGTATCCTGGTGTCTTGTAGGGCTTACTTGGACGGGGCTCAAGTGGGGTGTCTTGTTAAAGGTGGAGTTCAGGATGTGGATGAGGGAGACAAGAGCTGTTCGCAAGAGTTCAAGGCTAGCCTGGGTGTGTTCATGACGACTCTGGTGAATCAATTCGTGCAAATTGGGGCAAAGGATTGTGAGGAGTTCCTCTATTTGGCCCAATTGGAGAAAACACGAACAGGTGCTCATCCCGTTCCTGAGCACCCATAATTCTTATCCAATTAAGTTCAAATTCATAAAATCAGTTTTAGTGATGATTAAAGTTAATGAGGATAAAGTAAGAGCCGGATACTGTTAGTCGTGACTGATTGGTGTTAAAACTGTTTTGGGGAGTAAGTTTGGAGTATTGCTATTATGTCATCGAGATGCTTCAGTTGCATTTGGTAATAAAATATTTGTATATACATGGATGTCTATTCGAGCTTTCGTGCATTTTTGTTGCTGGAATCATGTTTTATTTTTTCTTATTGGTTCCGCTGTGGGGATTACAGATTTTTCTAGTTTCTGGTTGCAATTGTTTCACTGTATACATTATTTATGTTGTGTTGATCAGCAAGAAAGGACCCCAAGTTGGTCATTCTTTAATGGCTTGTTGGGCATTACCACTTTCATATCCAAAATGACCACTATCAGTACCCAATGTTTAAAAAGTCTCAACTTCCTTGCCCGGCCTGACTATTGAGAAGAAATATCACTGATTAGTTCATCTCCTTCTCCCAAGTTAAATTGATTAGCTTGAAACCAAGTGATTAAAATAGTCCTAGAGCACATTTGGTTTCCAAGATAGGATTGGTCTAAATTAATGTGTTGTGGCCGGATTATACTGTAAAGATTAATGTGTTAGGTTGTTTGTTCTCCATGATTTGTGTTTTTTCTAAGATTAGATAAAATAAGTACCTTC